TTTTTTCGAAATTAATAATCGATACTTGGCATCAAGAATCGATGCAGTAGATCACGAAAATTAGAATCACGATGCATCATCATGACGATTATTTTGCACACCCCTAGTTACTACCAGTCATTATGACAATTTTAGTTCTTGAAAAATGAATATAATATTCTAGATATCCAGAAATCCAATTCTTGACATCTACAATATATTTCTGCATGTAGAAATGTCACTACAGATATGAACTACTTATTTTACGGCTAGTTAAAATTTCTTTTAGTGTGAATTTGTCAGGGCTAACGTTAGCCCTAGCTGCTGCAGACAGGCTAACGTTAGCCTGTTAGCGGCAGCCCTCTCTCTGCATAGCCGTGTGTGAAGTACTGATGGCGATACTTTTGTTTTATTTGGAAAAATGTTCATTTAATTTATGTTTATCTGACTGTGTTCATTATTATTCCTCCACTAAATGAAAAAAGTCCTAATTTATTATTATCTAGAGACTATTAATAACAGGAGACTAGCTTTGAATGTGGTGATGTCAGCAGTACGCATCTGTCCCAGTTGACCAGATTAATGCCGCATGCTCCGGTTCTCCCAGAGTCCAGACTTTACTGGGTTCTCCTCAGGAACGTAATTGGCGAGGAAAGTTCCTACTCCTGATCTAAAGCGGCCAACAATTCACTCTCCAACTACACACCTGTAACGGTCACCACTACTCGCCAAGATTCTGATTTCAACCGTTGCGTATATTAGCGGCGACATATGAATCAAGATGCTATGAGCGAAAACATTTGATTGACAGATGACCGTTAATATATTATTGGCTGAATTTAGGTGTTCAGGCTTAATTTTGGGACAGTATGGTCTTATAAGGAGTACATTTATACACATGTTTAATCCAGAATGATTTGACGTTTAAATATGACTTCCCTACGACTTAATAGTAAAATTATATTTCTGTACAATTTAATTTTTGCTGACTAAAATGTAACTTAGGGTATCTATATGTACAGTTCTGACTGTAGGAAGAATCTTATTTTAGAGATCTACACATGGAACCATAGAGAGGACAGCTCTTCTATTAAATGTCAAAACGGCCTGCCATACCATATTTATCATTTTAACATTTGGAGCTGCAGAACGGTTCACTCTCAACGCTTAATTCAGTTAAAAATGTCTTTGAATAAACTTTATGGCTCAGATATAGAATCAAGCATAAGATTGTTTCTCTGGCTGTATTTTCCTAATTGAAGCTGAGGTTAGAGGTTGATATTAGAAGCTGCAGGTGAGACTAGAGATGATTCTGCTAATGGAGGAAAGCGGCTGTAACCATGGTAACCCTGTAGAGATGCTTCTGTGTGCATGTCCTGTGTTTGCCTTCCAGTCCTCATTGAGTGTTCTCTCTTTAAGGAAAACTGATGAGCGTGAAGCTTTCCACTAGCCGCCTGCGTACGGCGCCGGGAATGGGAGACCGATCGGGTTGTTATCGTTGCGGGCAGGAAGGCCACTGGTCCAAAGAATGCCCTCTAGACCAAAACGGCTTCCAGAGAAACGGCTCCGAGCCAAACTCTGAAGGATACGATCCCTCGAGGTTCGGCGGGCGTGGTCACGGCAGGGGCTATCCGGACTTCAGCGCCGCTCCGGAGTACGACGGCGGCTACGGTCCCGGTTTCCCCCGGGTCGCGGCCCAGAGCAGCAGCATGCCGGGTTACAGAGGAGGCGCCGGCTACGAGAGCGCGGCCAGGTACGGGCCGCCCCCAGCTTACGGCATGAGCGCCGTACCCGATCACAACGCGGCTCGGATGTACGGCAGCGAGGCGGCATACAGGAGCAGCGGCTCGGTCTACGGCGCGGTGCCAGCCTACGCGGTCCGACGGTCGCCCTACGACGTAAGGGATCCGTACAGCGTCGTGGACTACTACGAGAAGTACCGGGCCAGTGCTTACGGAGCCGCTTATTACGACGACCGGCGCGGCGGCGCCGTGCCCGGTCCAACGACGGCCCCCTCCACGGCGCAGAGGGACCGCGTCCCGCCCGCTAGCGTCGACCCCTACATGTGCCCTCCCCTCCCTCCTCCACCAGCCCCGGTCTCTTCATACTACGCACGTGACCGGAGTCCGATACGGAGAGTCGCCGGCGACACGGGTGGATACGCATTCGAGCGGTCGCGGCTTTCCCCGGTGCCCGTGGCCCCCAGGAGCGGCACCTACGAGCATTTGCGGGATCCTGTTGCCGAGCGGGCCCGGTACACTTACTAAGCTCGGACGGAGCCAAGCGGAATAGCCTTAGCGCCGCTGGAACCACGGAGACGCCGAGCATCCATGGAAAAGCTTTGCTTCCCGTTCCAGCTCCTGTTTCTCTGCAGTCAATTCTTTCTTTTTCTTTTTTTACTGATCTGTGTCTCTGTACAGTTTGAATCTGAAGAAGCGGCTTAATAAAACTTTTTTAGTTCCTCCTGTAACCGTAGAATGTGTCCTTTGATGTTTGCCTCCAGCCAATCAGTGCATGAAGATGTGCAGACATGTTGCTCCACTGTTCTGTCCGTTGTGCTGTGATGTGGTGAACTTCGCACGGCTGCAGACGCCGTTTAAAAATCATTTTTTTTTAAAGCCTGACGTCTTACAGCAGTTTTTCAGTGAATCCTTTGGTTCAGGTTCATCTTATGGATTCTTTCCGAACATCTCAGGCTTCTTGTTTTCATCCTTTCTTCTTTCCGATCAATGCGGAGCTGAGGCGGTGTCGCACAAATAAGCAACACCTTTAAACAAATGTGCATGAACAGGAAGTTCCGTGTGTTTTCTGAGACCAGACTGTTGTCCCATAACGTGACCTCTGACCTTTCCTCTGTTTCCATTCAAATAAAATGTGAAAGTGAAAACATTGTACAATTTTCATTCATTTTCAAGTTTAATAAAAAAAAATTTAACTGGTTTATTGTGTCATTTCTAAAACTCTTTTTTTCTAACTTAATAAAAAGGTTAATCTAAACAGAACTAATTAATTATATTAATGAGCAGAGGTGTCAGTATTCATGTTTATTACTCTAGAAGTGTAAATCCTGCTGTTTACAAAGACTTCTGTAGAAGGTAAAGTGTAAAAGTACCATTTTTAATGCCTATTAGTTTCAGGTATAAATAATGATCCCTTATTATTCTTTGCTGAGCCGACTTTTCCTTTAAAAACAGAAGTAGGACATCAGGAAGCTGTGAAAACCAGCAGCCAGACTGGGATTAAACTGGGAGAAAATAAAAACAGGCTTTAGTCTGTTTTTTATTTCCCTCTGCTTTCAAACAGCAGCAATGGCGGCTGGTTTGGATGGTGTAACGGAGACCAGATGTCTGTAAAGATTCCAGCTCAGCCTGTCGTCCCCCACCCCCCG